AGACGATTTTCTTAAGGCTAAATCCTGGAACAAGAAGTTATATGATTATGAAGCTAACATGCCAGACAGGTTTGTGACTAAATTCTTGTGACCATTAATGATATTGGCCTGAGAATGTATACTTTAAAAAATCAATTATTTCTACAAAAACTTGTATACAAATGTTCACAGCATAATTATTCATTATGGCCAAAAAAGTGGAAACCCAAATGTCTATTAGCTGATGAATGGATAAACAAATGCGGTATACTAAGTGGTAATACTGGGTTGGCCAAAAAGTCCATATGGTTTTTTCTGTAAAGTCACATTTTTCATTTTCACCAATAACTTTATTGATTTGGATGTTTTGAGTATGTTGGCTATACCCTATTATTGGCTTCTACTGGATAGAGGCCAGGGGTGCTGCTAAACATCTTCCAATGCATAAGACAGTTCCACAGCAAAGTCTATGTGGCCAAAATGTCAGTACTACCAAGAAACTTCGCAAACCACTTTTGACACATTCAGTGAGTCACAGTACCTTCTCCATATACTGCACAAATTGTTTTTACTTTTTTAAAAATATATTTTATTGATTATGCTATTACAGTTGTCCCCCTTTCCCCCTCCCACTCACATTCCCCCCCTTTAGTTCATGTCCATATGTCATACATATAAGTTCTTTGGCTTCTTCTACTTTTCCCATACTGTTCTTACCCTCCCCTTGTCTATTTTCTACCTACCATCTATGCTATTTATTCTCTGTATATCCCCCCACATATACACTCCCCTGTTGATAACCCTCCATGTGATCTCCATTTCTGTGGTTCTGTTCCTGTTATTTGCTTAGTTTGTTTCTATTTTTGTTTTTAGGTGTGGTTGTTAATAATTGTGTTTTTACTTTTTTTGAAAGAATAAAGCATAATATGCTGAAAATATTGAGTATCTTCCATCTTCAATATTAAAATGGCTACATAAAAATTAACCAATTTTAATAATTTTTAAAAAATGCACGCTGATATGACAGCTGTCACAATATAGTCTAACATAATTGTTTCAAATGAAGTTAAAAATAACTAAGCACTACTGGAGCCATCTTACAGAAAAAAACAAATGAACATTTTGGCCAACCAAATATAATGTCATCTGGCAGTAAAAGGAATAAAGCACTGATAACATACTCCAAACATGGATGAACCTTGAAAATATTCTGGTAGATGAAAAAAGCCAGACAGAAAAGGCCACTTACTATATGATTCTGTTTATATGCTATATCCAGAATGGGCAAATCTATGGAGACAGAAAGTAGATTAGTGGTTGCCGCAAGCCGCAGGAGGAAGAGGAATGGAGAGTGACTGCTAATAGATTGAGTTTCTTTTTGGGGTGATGGAAATGTTCTGAAATTAGATAGTGGTGATGGTTGCACATCACTGAATATACTAAGAGCCACTGATTGTACACTTTAAAAGGGTGAATTTTACGGTATTTGAATTATACTCAATAGTTACTATTTTAAAACTGTACCAGTATAGACAGAATTATGAAGTGATTTTGAAGTACTTCCTAGCTAAAGAGCAGATTATAAGACTGGCTTCTGTTTCTTAAGGAAGAGAATGATAAGTTCTCTTACAAATTAGAAAAGGAATCTTGTGTGTCTGAAATAATAGTGTGTACTACAGAAAAATGTAGCCAACTAAGTTACTGAGCTGTAATGTGGGGTTGGCTCTACCATATCTGTTTTCTTTGTTCTGTGTGTGCATGTACTCCAAAGTCTGTCTAATTTAATTTTCCAAAACATGCATTGCTTTAACAATATGTGTGATAAAATGTCATCTTACAGATGGGGTCACAGTGGTTATAAAGAATTATACCCTGAAGAATTTGAAACAGACAGGTAAGACAAATAGGTGCAGTGGGGAAAAAAGTTAGAAACCAAGCTTAATACAAAGTCTGAACTGTAAATGGAGTGCCTAGTTTTTACAAAGCATGTAACATTTTCCATTAAAAATGTAACCAAGAAATAATAGGCAATTTAGATGGAAGGTGATGGGTATTTTGCCTTTCCCTGATTGATGTTTGACACATCTATAGCACGTAGTTTTTCATATATAATGTCCCATACAGTAGTTCAGTATGGCGGATGAGAATTATTTCATATTAAGGATTCTTTAATTTAAAAAGAATTTTAAACAAAATAGCTTTCTTCTTATCAGATTGGCATAAAAATTCTTTTGGATAATGCCTAGTGTTGTTGATAGTAGTGGTAAGCCAATCTGCTCAATATCCTTTTTTTTTTTCTGAGTCCAATGATATTTAATGGTTTTAGTGTTGTTTTACAGATTAGAAATTTTATGATCATCTTAAAGATGAAACAAAAACTCAGAGTGGTTAAATTTATAGTAACCCTATGTCAAAGCTGTTTTAAAATTTACATTTATTCCAACTTCCTATCTAGAGTGCAGAATATTAAAATATTAGTATACTTTGTTTTCTATAGTAAAGCAGTTTTTCTTTTTTATTACTAGTGATCAGCAAGATATTACCAATGGAAAAAAAAGATCTCCCCAGGTGAAATCATCTACCCACGAGTCTCACAAACACAAGAAGTCAAAGAAATCTCACAAAAAAAAGCAGAAAAAAAAGTCACGCAAAAAACAGAAGAAAAGCAAAAAGGAAGCGACAGATATAATAGCAGATTCCTCAAATGAGTTCTCAGAAGAAACTGGGGCTTCTAGTACCAAGAAACAACCACATAAGCGTAAGAAAAAATCAAGGAAAAAGTCTCTCAAAAAACCTACTTTAGTTTTAGAGGCAGAAAGTGACACTTCTCAGTCAGGTGATTGCGCATCCAGCAGTTCTGAGGAAAGTGAGGAAAGAGACACTAAAAAAACCAAAAGGAGAAAGAGAGATAAAGTCAATATCCCTGTAGTTAGCAATGAAAAACAGGAGAGGACAAACAAACGCACAAATTGGAAAGTGGCTACAGATGAGAGGTCTGCTGAGAGCTCAGAAGATGACTAAATGAGAAACATTCTTCAGTTTCCATGTGACTCCGATATTTACAACTCTTGCACCTTGGGGCTTTGCCAGTGACTCTGTTACTCAGCACAGGGCCTGAGGTCAGAGCAGTCCTGTGCCATTTATATACATTTTGACAGACTTCTCTTCTATTTTGGCCTGTTAAACTTGATCCTTATGGTTAATAGGGAATCTGGTATTTTGTTATGAAGGTTTCTTGAAGAGATTATTTTTTGCAGTTAATTACATTAGGTATAGAGTACATATACAGCAAGTTAAAGGACCCAGAAAGTGAAATCCAATAATGACCTGGGTACACCAATTAGAATGTGGAGTTTGGGGAAATCAAGGGCTGGGATCAAGAGATGGACTGGAACCTGTGCTGTGCACGATGTATAAGGGAACATCATGTGGCCCTCGTTTGGTTTATATAGCAGGTGCCAGTTGACATTATCTTAGTTTTGGTGCTTTGATCTTTCTGTATTTTGGCCCCATGTATATGGTCATTTATTCAATGGGGAAATGAGCATAAGAACACTTTCCCTTCATAACATCTATAGAAAGCTATTAGAAGAAACTAGGGTTTTCTGTCAAATTTGCCTGCTGGACAGGGACTATGGCTATTCTCAATATGTCCATAAACATGGTAATTGGATAGTAAATGGTTTTCTAGTTCCATTGCTGTATATTGCCTAAATGGACTTGGTTTCAAAAATTCTTTTAGGTAACTCAACAAATGCTAAAAAACTAAGAATTAGTTATGCTAACAGTGCTCTGAACAGGCTTCAGGGCTGCTCCACCATTTAAATGTTGTCTTCCTTACTCATTTCTAAATCTATTAATAATTAGATTTTCCCTGAAACTAGGTTGAATCAAATCTGAAATGTATTTCTCAGGGACATAGTTACTTTCCATCCTGCCTTTGGATTAAAGCACCAAGCAGAGGCATATTATTTCCCTTTGCTACATACTATAATTCCTGCTATGTTAATTCATAAGAAACCAAAACACTGAAAGGTGGCTGACAGAACACAGATTTTTTTCATTATGGCAGAAGATCAAGTGACATTTTTCTTGGTTGTCACTTTGTGAGTAGAGTAAAAAGCCCGAAAACTCAACTCTTGGTTATGAGGTCTGGAGTGGGTAAATTAACCTTCCTAGCCTTCCTTTCAACCCTATGTCAATACACAAATATACTCCATGGTGACATGACAGTGTAAGACACCAGCAATAGAATTTCGACAACCTTCCATGGTAGTAAGATTTTATAGTTTAACTGCTAAGTTTGTTCTCTTTACAGAGATTTCCAATAAAATGTTTAGACATAAAAGTACATGGTTGGCCAGAGGTTCCCTATCCCAGTAATAAGCAGGTGCTACCTTTGGGGATATTTATTTTAATTATTAATACTTTGGTACTCAATTGTCAATGTTCAGTGGTATACATTTTTACCTTTGGGATCAGTAGGGGCCCAAGGAGGGAAGAACAGTCTATAATTACTACCTCTTAACCTTGAAAGCAATTTTTTTTTCTTGGAGCAAGTGAATCTTTGTTGGAGGGACCGTTCGTGGTGTGGTTGGTTTTTTTTTGTTTTGAGCAATATTTCTGTACTATAAAAGTACTGGTTCTAAGCACAGATTCAGGAGGATGGGCCAGTAGAACAAGGTATCTCCAGGAAGTTGAGTTGACCTTCCCTCCTCCCATAGTATCAGGCCTCTTTTCCAACAAATACACATCTTGCCTGTTTTGTTTTTTGTTATGTTTACCTTTTCTTGGTCATATATAAGCAATAAAGCTGTTTTCTTCACATTTCTCAACCCTAAATTTTCTTCTGTGCCTTAGGGTAGGGCTTTGATGGTTTTTCCAGCCCCTTAAATGTGGCCTACGGTGACTCTTCAGAAACCAGTGATCTTCCACTTGCACTACCAGCCTTGGAACATATTCATTTCTAGTGTTCCTGCTGATCAGAGATATTAAGTCCTAAAATGAGATTTTAAAAAAAGTTGGGGAATTCACATTTATTGAATAACTTTTGTGATACAATAGGGAATTGTGAATTCTAAATAAATTTCACTTTTGAACATTTGATCTGTTACTTTTTAGCACCAACAGGCTTGGCTGGTATTAGCCTAAAGTTGACCTGACAGTGGGTTGACAATTTGCCCCCACTGGCCCTTCAGTCTGCTTAAGTCCTTTGCTGCTTCCATCATTCTCCAGGGGAATGGCCTACTGCCCTCCTTTCTGTACAATCTGGGCAAACCGATTGGTGATGGCAAGAGTAGTGTCAATGAAGCGATCCACACAGCTGGAGAGACAATTTTCAGTGCGAGAGTCAAGGCGATTTCCTGGCTTATCCACACATTTGTCCCAGCAGAGCTCCATGAAGTGATGTACCTAAGAGAAAAGAAAAATAGTTAACCATTGGGTCTGTACATAGGCCCAACTGCCAATTTTCTTTTTCCCATTTTAATTTTCTGCCACCTGACTAACGCATCCATCCTTTCAATCAACAAACCATGGCTCTCATCTTTCCTAACTTCCTAATCTGTCTCCAATAAAGTCCAGATCCTCATTCCTACATTGCAACAATCCTTTTACCACCCCCTTTTCTCTTTTTCTCTTCTTTAGTAATTAAAAAATGCTTTTCAGCAAGGCATCTCTGTACTTGCTTAATGCATCAATTTCTGTGAGCCACTCAAGGCACTCATCCCTTATTTAACCCCTACTAACTCATACTGGTTTTTAAGATTTGATTTATACTCCTTTTAGGAAATGCCTTCTGTAAAGATTTTACCCATCATCAAACAGTTCAGATTCTTACCTCTTTGAAGGCCACTGTCTATTATTTTCTAATTGTGTCATGTCCTCAATCAGAATGTAAGTTTTCAGGCAGGATGCCTTGTTTTGTATTCCCAAATGAGCACCATTTTAAGTTAGGAAGGTATGTTACCAATTAATTCCCCCAAACCACTGCGCTCAAATCATTCTAAACCTATCCCTTATTAAAGGGTAATTCTTAAGTTTTTAACATTTTGGGAGTCATGAACACATCTGAGAATCCAATGAAGCTTATGGATCCACTCTCCAGGGAAAATGTGCACATGCAGGCACAGGAAATGTATAACATCTTGCTAAAGTTCAAGGAGCCAAAGATTTCTAACCACTTGGGAGTCGGGTGGGAAGAGAAAAAGCCATTTTCCAACGGTTGATTATTGACAGGCTGGCACCAAGCACTCAGTCACCCTTTCCATAGGCCTAAAAGATGACTTGTTAGCTTCGTTTAAAAGGTGTGGTTAAGTAATTAGCCCTAAGTAATGCAGCTAATAAGGGGCCTTGCCAGGATTCCACCCATGCCGAAAGGACTCCAAAACTCTTGTTGTAAACCAATAGTCTAGACTTCCTACTTCAGAGCCCTTCCATTCTTTTCCAAAAAAATTCTACCACTCTAGCGTTTTCAAATACATTATCGCATTTGAACCTCACAGTACAGTGAGGCAACGGGCGACTGCCAAACCAAGACGCATTCTGAACAAGCGTCTCGTCCAGGGGCATATGGCCCGTGAGTAACAGAATTAAGTTAGAACCTAGATATTTGAATATCGACCCTCGCTGCCAAACTAGGCCCCTGGGCCTTTGCGTCGCATTTTTTTTTTGCTTTACATCTTCTGTTTCCCCTACCATGGGTTTGCTTAACGAGCACTAAGCACCAGTGGCAGGAGTGCCACGACCCGTTTCTTTTGCGAGGGGAACCAGGCCTACCAGGGGGACCTAGAGTGACCTGAGACGCCAGCGTACGGAGCTTCGTGGGTGCTGGGACCTGTAGCTGACCCCTATCATCTCTTCACCCTGGTCCCTGGCCCCATACCTGTGCAGTGAACTGCGCCTTCTGCTGTTCGGCAGCCACCAGGCGCTGCAACTCGGCTTGGTCCGCTTCACCCATATCCGCCATTGTCCTCGGGGTGCTCACGACCTCCAGCAAGTGTGCGCATGTGCAGTGGATGCCCGCTGATTCCCACTTCCGGTCCACCATTTCCTTTTCCTTATTTCCCAGTCAAGGGGTGGGAGTAGTCGTATGACTGTTTCCGGGTTGCTGGGTGACCTTGAGCTTAAGGAGCGAAATGGCGAGTATCTGGAGGCTGAGTGTCTTCTGTGGTGCCCAAGGAGGCCGAGGTGAGATGTCCGGTCAGGCTAAGTTTCTTAGCACAGCTTTCCATCTAGGGAAGCGGGTGCGGTGAGCAGGATTCGGCTGCGGGGTGGTGAGACCTTTTGAGCAAGGAGTCCCTCCTCCTTCCGTTTGAACACTCGAGCTCCTGCCAAAACCGTTGCCTGTAGGCCTAGATATTCAGCCGAGCGTGTGTCTCTCCTGTTCTGGGCCGACGTGGTAAACCGGTAAATCTGAAAGAATTCTTTCTAGAAGTTTAAGTCCTGCTGAGGCTATTCAGAAGAGCTCATATTTTCCCTTCCCCATTCACTGTCCTTAGAGTGAAGGAACATACTAAGGAAAAGAGGGTTAGTGCTTGGTCTTGCTCGTGTTCCGTGAAGTTGGTTCAGGGGATCAGTTCGGTAAGCATTGAACTGGGCACTGTAGTAAGGTTGGGATATAAATGTGAATAAAACAGTTCTTGCTCTCCAAGACTTTTCCTTTTTATAGGGTAAACACTTATAAGCATAATTTAATATCCAACAAAAATTGTTGTGCTGTACATAAATTGTTATGCCAGTCCAGAGGGAGAGTACATTTATCTCTGTGTTTGAAAGGATTTACTTTGTCTCCTGTCCTGAAGGAGTTGTGCCTGATTTGAGGTTTGAGAGTAAGGAAGTCCACAGGAATCAGGGCATTACAGTTAGGGCTACTAGGATGAGCAAAAGCAGTGATGAAACTTATGAGGGAAAATAATAAATCAGGTATTATTAGAGTGTGAAGCTCAAGATGAAAATGAGAGATGAATCGAGAAAGGTGAACTGGAGTCACATCATACAAAAATTTGTATTGATAAGGAGTATGCATTTTACGTGGAATAAAGGGGAGCCATTGGGAGATTTGACATAGATTTGCAGTTTAGATTGACTTCTTTGGTAACAGTGTGGTAGTTGGTCATCATGGGAGATAGACAGGCTAAGACAGAAGTTAGGGAGATGAAATAGGGCATTATTGCAGTAGTCCAGGCAAATATGGTGAGGTCCTGAACCTAGAAAGTAATACAAAAAAGAGAAAATTGTCTGAAGAAATGATGGGTGACATCAATTTGTCAATTGACTGAATTTAGGGAGAAAGTCCTATATGACTTACAGATTTCTGGGTTAGTTTGAAGAGTAGCTGGATGGCATTAAAGTGGAGAACATGCAAACGGGAGACAATTTTAGATGAGAAAGTTGAAGGGTGATTTTAGTTTTCGTCCTGGTGAATTTGAGCAATACGTGCGATATCTCAGGGGAGAGGCCCAGCAGGGCACTTAAACTTCTAAAACTGAGAAGATACTAGGGCTGGAAATTCAGAATTTGGATGTTATCAGCTTATAGGCAGTAGAAGCTGAGCGGACAGAATGGCTGGGAGTGGGCAGGAAGGAAGGAGAGCAATGGGCAGAGGACAGAATACTGGGAAAACATTTAAGAGTGAACGCAGTAGGAGACTGATAATAAAATGATCAGAGAATCACAGAGAGAACCAGAAGAGGGTTCTTCTGCCTGAGAAAAGAAGGGAGGAAACGTATCCCCACCACTTGCATATGGACACTTGAGATCATCAACAGCTTTGGTGGGGATAAAAATAAGTTTTTGAGTTAAAGAATGATAAGTGAGGAATTCAAGATGATTTTAATAGCTTTTTAAAGAGGCATGACTAGAAAAAGGAGAGAGAGTAGGGAAAGAAGAGTATTCAGGCATTAGTGGAATTAGAATCAAGGGAGGTATTTTACAACAGTGGAGGGAAAATGGCCAGTAAGAAGGAGAGGTTAAAGATGTAGGAGAGAATACCTTTTGTTGAGTGCTTATAACTTTCTGGGAATTATACTGAATGCCTTGCCGTATTATTAAATTTTCAACAGTATTATGAAGTAAGTATTACTATTTCCGTTTTGTAGATGAGGACATTGAGGATAGAATGTCTGTTTAGCTTTCGTGCTGATCATCTCACAGCTGTGAAGTGGCAGAGTTGAATTACTTAGGTCTGCCTATTTTTTAACCAAAAGACAGGATCTCAAAGGTGGCAAATGGATGGGTTCAAAAGTAGAAGTGGAGAAATTGATCTTGAAAAGGTAGACAGTAATAGATAAACTTCCCAAACTATACTGAATTCCTTGAGGACAAAGGCTGTATCTTTTATCTTTTAATCCAGTGCAGAGCAGATGAATAAGTGGAAAGTAAAAGCTATAATCTACTTTTAAAAAAGTAAAAATTATGTATTTTTAGAGGGAGGGGGAAAGAGGGAGAAAGAGGAGAGAAATAATTCGAGAGAAAGACAGGTTGGTTGCCTCTTGCATGCCCCCAACCAGGGACCTGACTTGCAACCCAGGTATGTACAGTGACTGGGATTCAACTGGCCACCTATTAGTGTGCGGGATGATGCCCAACCCACTGATTCACAATAGTCAGGGCTATAATGTACTTTTTAAAAATAATAAAAGTAAAGCCCGTTTACATAAGTGGTTTGATTTTGCAGTCTTTCATGGTTACTTAGTCTGACCTCACAGCAACCCAGTGGAATAGGTGGTATCCTTATTTTACATATAAGATGTTATCAACTTTGGGGTTGAAGTAGCTTGCCTGTGACCATTTGAAAAGTCTGTCAGTCCTGTTACAAGAGAGGTGCTTATGATTACCTTCACCTCTCTCTTCAGCTTTCCTCCGAACCCCAGTTGTCAGACCTGCTCAAATCTCAGCGTTTTTCCAGGACCAACCTATGCCAGGATGGTGTGGAATACAGCACATTCACCTGTCACCCAGCCGCCATTGTATGTTTTCTTTATTGCTGCTGCTCTCTGGGCTCTGGCCATGTTCATCTGAGCTAATTGTCATGTCTTTGGGAGGACTTGTCTGTAGGGGGAACTCTTCTGTCCAACTCTGTCATATGAAGACTTAGCCTACTCCTGTGGGAAGGCAATGCCAGCATGGTTGAATGATGACATTTACATGTATAGAGAACCTTCTGGTATAAGTTGTTTTAAATTTTAAAAAATTTTTTAAAAGAAAATAGCTGTACGAAGAGTCTGTTCAGTAGTTTAATCACTCTTATTTATTTAGCTTATGGAGAGGAGCCAGATATGAATAATTTAGAATAGTGGACAATTTTTTAAAAGTCATATACTTATAGTCATAATTGTTTATTTTTATATAGGTAGATATTAAAATCATAGCATTTCTTAGATGAATACTGTTTAGATATTATTAAAATCAGTCTTAGAAAGTCTCTAGGTGAATAATGAGTTAACTGTAGTATTTCCATTTTTGAAGTCAGAAAAATTAGTATTTTACAGAGATAAAGACTTCTCTTGAGCACTGGCTGGGTGGTTCAGATGGTTAGAACGTTGTCCCAGTATGCCAGGATTTCAGGTTTAGTCCCCAGTCAGGACACATACAAGGGTCAACCAGTGGCGAGCGGCAGCAGAGGGTATTTATGCGTAAATAAGTGGAACAACAAACTGAGGTTTCTCTCCCTTTCTCACTTTCTAAAATAAAAAAATAATAATACTATTTTTTAAAAAAAGACTTCTCTTTATTTTTACATCAGCCACTTAGGTATAGTTGCATCTGAGTTATGAGCAATTAGGCAAGTGTAGTCTTCTGGCTTTTGAGAATACTTTTATCTTTGAAAAATTTTTGTTTCTGCATATCTTTGCTTAGTTTAGTTAGATTTAACAGAGTAGTTTTTAACTTGGGGTGCATGGGACCGACGGAAAGCCCCTGAAGTTGTCTATAGAGTTTTTAATGTATGTGCCTATGTGCATTTTTCTGGGAAGTCACTCCATCCTTTTATTAGATTCCCAAAGAGATCTGTAACCACAAAAAGATAGAGGCTCTCAAAGAAATGTTTTTAGCCCATTTTATTTTTCACTTGTTTAAAATTAGTTTTCATGTTCCATTTCTGTTTATAAGTAATGGGGCAGAACAAGGACCATGATCCTAAAAGTTGACATCAGAACTTCGCTTCTGAGTTGGCTGGTTTAATTTTGTCTCAGGAGAATTTTTTAATTAATTTATTTATTTATTTTTAGAGAGAAGGGAAGGGAGGGAGAAAGAGGGGGAGAGAAACATCAATATGTGGCTGCCTTTCGTGTACCCCCTACTGGGGACCTGGCTTGCAACCCAGGCATGTACCCTGACTGGGAATTGAACTGGCAACCCTTTCATTCACAGGCTGGCACTCAATCCACTGAGCCACACCAGCCAGAGCAGGAGGATTTTTAATATTACTTTACTTCTAAAGATTAGAAGGTGTAAAAATAATGTTTTGAAGGAATTTCTCAAGTGTTCATAAAGTGAACATATTCATAAAGTATCTGTCCATTATATTGAAGTCCAAGATTGGTAATTCTGCAGATATTTTGTCCATCTTTTTGCCTATAAGTAAATAAAGGGGCTCTGTCTTCTAATCAACATATGTAGGTGTTGAGACACCTTGTACTAAAAAGGGAGATAGCATCTCTTTCAGTTACCATCTTTATCTTACCCTCTTTATGCTCAGAGTTAAGTCTTATATGTATAAATGTGAGAGATAGTTTTACCCCTTTGATTCTTATAAATCAGGTTCTCTCTTTCTGTAGCTGGTTCAAAAGCTGCCTCTCTCCACTGGACTGGTGAGAGGGTTGTCAGTGTTTTGCTCCTGGGTCTGCTTCCAGCTGCTTATTTGAATCCTTCCTCCATGATGGACTACTCCCTGGCTGCAGTCCTCACTCTCCATGGTCACTGGCAAGTACAGCAGTGCCTTCAATATTATATTGTTTGTTCAGTTTGTTTGCTGTGAGCCTGTTTTATTATTGCATGTAAGGAAGAAGTTGATTGAGATATTCAAGACCTGTTGAAAACTAAAACACATATAAAATGTTTCTATACCTAGATTTATATATCTACTTACCTGTTTGATGTCTTCACTCCCCTAATAGGCGTTTTGAATATAGGATGTTAGAAAACTTATGCCCCCCCAGATTGCTTCCTCCAGCACTCTTTCCCATTTGAATTAATTTCCATTCTGTTTGTTCATGGCCCAAACTTTATCATGGTCTTTGATGCCAGTCTCTTAACTGGTCCTCCTACTGTCTATTCCCAACACAGCTGCCCCATTGATCCTGTGAAAATATTAAGTCAGGTCAAGATAGTCCCCTTCTCAAAGCCATTTGTTGTCTTCTAATCATACTCAAACTAAAAGTAGAATTCTTGCAGTGGTCTAGGCTACATGTTATCTGGTTTCCCTGTTTCTTTATCTCCAATTATTACCTCTCTTATTCACACTGACTTCCTTGATAATTCTTGAACACAGTAGGGACACTCCAGGCCTCAAGACTTTACTCTTATTGTTCCTTCTGTCTGAAAGTCCTTTTCTAGTTATATACTTGAAATATTCCCTCATTTCCTTCAATCCTAAATGTCACCTTATTGAAGCCTTCTTTACACTTACTCAAAATTTCAGTATCTTTCCCAACATTCCGTATTCCTCTTTCCTGTTATTTTTTCTCAGTAGCACTTACTACATTCTAATATAATATATCATCTATTTATTATTTTACATATTTCTTATTTCCTTCCACTAGAATAAAAGCACAGGTACAGAAAATTACAAGAATCAAATCTGTGACTTAATAATTATAAGGGTGATACCACCCAGGTGAAGAAATAGAACTTTGCCTCCTTGTCCAAAAGTCCCTTCCTTGTGTCCTATTTCTTTCTTTTTTCTTTTTCTTTCTTTTTTTTTTATGCCATTACAGTTCTATTCCCCCCTTCATTCCCCTCCACCCAACCCCCCGTCCCCACCATTACCCCCCCTTTAGTTTATGACCATGTGTCTCAAGTTCTTTAGATTCTATATTTCCCATACTATTCTTGCCCTCCCCCCTATCTATTTTCTACCTACCATCTATGCTACTTATTTTCTGTACCTTCTCCTCCCACTCCCCTGTTGCTAACCCTCCATGTGATCTTCATTTCTATGTTTCACTCCTGACCTTGATGTTCTATTAGTTCGTTTTTGTTTTAGGTGTGGTTGTTAATAACTGTGAGTTTGCTGTCCTTTCACTGTTCATGTTTTTTTTAACTTCTTTTTCTTCGATAAGTCCCTTTAACATTTCATATAATAAGGGCTTGGTGATGATGAACTCCTTGAATTTGACCTTATCTGAGAAGCACTTTGTCTGTCCTTCCATTCTAAATGAAAGTTTTGTTGGATAGAGCAATCTTGGTTGTAGGTCTTTGGATTTCATGACTTGGAATACTTCTTTCCAGCCCCTTCTTGCCTGTAAGGTCTCTTTTGAGAAATCTGCTGACAGTCTGATGGGAACTCCTTTGTAGGTGACTGTCCCCTTATCTCTTACTTCTTCTAGGATTCTCTCCTTCATTTTCATCTTGGCTAATGTAATTATGATGTGCCTTGGAGTGTTCGTTCTTGGGTCCGAGGTCTTTGGGACTCTCTGAGCTTCCTGGATTTCCTGGAAGTCTATTTCCTTTGCCAGATTGGGGAAATTCTCCTTTATTATTTGTTCAAATAACGTTTCCACTCCGTGGCTGTTCCTTTCCCCCTTCTGGTACCCCTATAATTCGGATGTTGGAGCGTTTAAAGATGTCCTGGAGGTTCCTAAGTCTCTCCTCATTTTTCTGAATTCTTGTTTCTTCATATTTTCCTGTTTGGTCATTTTTTTCTTCCTTCTGGTTCACTCCCTTGATTTGAGTCCAGTTTCCTTTTCATCACTATTGGTTTCCTGTGCATTTCCCTTCATTTCAATTAGTTTAGCCTTCATATGTTCCTCTAATTTGTGACTAAAATCAACCAGTTCTGTGAGCATCCTGATCACCAGTGTTTTGAACTGTGCACCTGGAAGTTTGGCTGTTTGTTCATCACTTAGATTTATTGGCTCTGGGGCTCTGAGTTGTTCTTGAGCCATGTTTTCATCTGTTTGTGCCTGTTACATATGAGAAGAGGCGCCTTAGGTGTTCACCAGGGTGGGGCCACCCAGGTCGCTAGTTTCTGATGCTATATGTGGGGGTGGGGTCAGAGAGGGAGCAATGGCGGTCCTCTCCACTCGCCCAGTCTGCCTCACCGCTTGCCCCTGCCTGTTTATCTGAGCAAAAATGTGTGAGCCCGCTGCCCTGCGCCGGCCACCAGGGCCTGCGTGATCTGTCTCAATGCTCGCCCCTTCACTGGTTTATCTGCGTGCAAATGTGCAACCAACTGCAGACAGCCAGCCGAGCCTCTTCCCTGGGTTCTACCCATAGCTAGCCCGCACCTGGAATCTGCCCCCTTGGCTGCCTGTGCACCGCTGGGGTTTTCAGACTCCATATTCGATTTTCTGTATGGTTTGGTTGCTTTTATTGTTGTTAAAACTTTGTTGGTTTTAGATTTGGTTGTGCGAGGACGCAGTATTTCCACCTGTGCCTCCATCTTGGCAGAAGTCCTCTATTTTATCTTGTTTTGTAAGGACAAGATGATATTGTGGGTAGGAGAGGCATTTTGGATTGTTAGAACTGAAAATACTTGGAGGAGTATCTTACCTAATTCTAATATTTTACAGAAATGGAAACTAAACCCCAGGGAAGTTAAGTGACTTACCAGGGTCATTTTCTAGCTAGTGATAAAAGGGGATTTTGCCTACCTAGCTTTCTAGCATTTGTTAGAAGAATCACCCTTTAACTACGTGGACCTTTTAAAATAAAGGGTTGTAGTTGCATATAAAATGCTAGATTACAAGTACGGTAATTTTTCTCTAACATGTGTTTCGTGGAAGGAGATTAGTCAAAATGAAAAATCAGAGCAAATTCTACAGTAATAAGTTTTTTATGACAATTACCTCACTAATTCTCTTTTACTTTTCACACACACAAAGAAATGACTGGAAAGATTACTAGTTCCTCAGCATCCAGTCTCTTTTAACCCACATTAATTGGGGTTTTATCCCAACTATTTAACTGAAATCATTCTTACTGAAGTCACCAAAGACCTTCATTTTTCCAAATCTGTTTGTTTGTTTTCTGTCCACTTACTTTAATTCTCAATAGCATTCAACTTAATTGAATATCTTTCTTAAATAATTTTTTTTGGCTTCTTAGAAGCAATATACCTTGTTTTCTTCTTCCCCTCCAGCTGTACCTTCTCAGTTTCCTTTGCCAGTTCCTTCTCCTCTCAGCTGACCTCTGAATAATAACGGTCTGAACCCTGGCATCACTCCTTGGCCTTTTTATCAATATACTTTCCCGAGGTTAGCTCAGACTTAATATATTTTTCTCTAGAGCTGCAGACTTTTATTTCCAGTTGTATAACCTTAGTCACGTCTATGTTTAATAGTTATCCTAAATGTAACTTTGTCAAAATCACCCTTTCACATCTCTCTTGATTTCCCCTCAGAACCTTCATTCCTCTTCTTCCCGACTCAATTAAGTGTAGTTGCTTAAGCCAAAAATCCTAGGAGTCATTCTAGATATTTCTTTTTGTCCTACATCTAGTCCATCAGCTCTTTCTGTTCTCTCTCTCCTTTAAACATAGCTTGAGTTGTCTCTTCACATTATCTCCCCTGTCAAAAGCCTAGGTTAAGCCAACAGTCTTGCCTGTGGTACTTCATTTGGCTCCTAGGTAGTTTTCTGTTTCTGTTCTTGCCCTCAGTCTCCTGCCTCCACCGTCCATTTGCCCCACACAACAGCCAAAGTGACCTTTTTAAAAAGTAAGATGACATTCATCCAAAGAACATACACACATGGCCAATAAGCATATTTAAAAAATGCTCAACATCATTTGTTACTAGAGAAATGCAAATGAAAACCACAAATGAGATTCTCCTTTATACCTACCAGATGGCTGTAGTCAAAAAGTTGGGCAATAACAAGTGTTTCAAGGATGTCAGAAAGTTGGAGCCCTTATGTATCTCTGCTAGAAATATAAAATGTTGCACCCACTTTGGGAAACAGTTTGGAAGTTCCAGCAAAAAGCTATAGTTACTATATCACTCAAAGACTCCACTTTTAGGTGTATATCCCTCCCCCTAATTGAAAACATATGGATGGCCTCAAACAAAAACTTGTACAGTAATGTTCATAGCAGTGTTATTTATAATAGCTAGAAAGTGGAGACATTCCAAATGTCTGTTAGCTGATGAATAGCTAAACAGAATGTGATATATGTGACTATGGGCAGATCTCCAAGGTAGTGCAGGTTCAGTTCCAGACCACTGCAATTTAAATGAATATGACAATGAAGTGAGTTACATGAATTTTTTGGTTTCCCAGTGCATGTAAAAGTTGTTTACACTATATATACACTGTAGTGTATTAAATGTGCAATAGCATTATGTCTAAAAAGGTATATACATTAATTAAAAAACATTTTTTGCTAAAAAATGCTAACTATTATCTGAGCCTTCAGCAAGTCATAACTTTTGTCTGGTAAAGGGTCTTGCCCTGGTAACATCAAAGGTCACCATAACAAATATAAAAATAATAATGAAGAAGTTTGAAATATTTTGAGGGTTACTAGAATAGGCAGAGAGAGATGAAATAAGTAAATGCTGGTGGAAAAATGGTGCCAATAGACTTACTCAATGCAGGGTTGCCACAAACCACAATATGTGCAAAATGCAATAAAGACAAGTGCAGTGGAATGAGGTATGCCTGTGTTATTTGGCCATACAAAGGATGGAAGTACTGATACATGCCACAATATGGATGGACCTTGACAACATTGTTTTAAGTCAAAGAAACTTAATATAATAGGCCACATGTTATCAGATTGCATTTACATAAACTGTCTGGAGTAGGCAAATCAATAGAGACAGAAAACAAATAAGTGGTTGGGTAATGGGCTTTTAGGTATAGGGTTTCTTTTGGGGTTGATGAAAATATTGTGGAGTTAAATAGTGATAATGTTGACAACTGTGAGTATACTAATAGTCACTCAATTGTATACTTTAAAAGGATTAATTTTATGGTTTGTGAATTTTATCTAAATAAAACTGTTATTTAAAAAAGTAAAATTAGGTCACTTTCTCCTTAAAGCACATCCTCATATATTTCTCGTATATTTCAAATAAAATTCAGACTTCTTTTCATGATCTTCACGACCCTGTGTAATCTGTCCCTGCCTTCTGACCTCCACATTCTTCAACCACACTAACCTTTTTATGATTCTTCAAAGATGCCAAGGTCATTGTCACTTCTGCTTGAACTGTTCTTTTCATTCAGGTCATCCTTTCTAAAACATTACTTCATAGCACATAGGTACTCTTTCTTTCTCCTTCACTAGAGCGCATGTTCCATAAGGGCAGGGGTGCTGTCTTAGTTACTGTGCTCCCAACATTTCTAACAGGTTTTGGCACATATCTGTTCAATACATTCTCTTTGAATTAATGAAAAACTGTAGAGCATTGTTTAAATGTTTTTTTTAAACCCAAGATTTTGTAGATAGAGCAGTAATTAATTACTATCTCTGATATAATACCTGGAAAATTGAATCTGAAGAATGGGAAGGTACTTTATTATATTGTTACAAAACCTTTGACTCCTTTTTTTGGTTTATGACTTGTTGCATTTTGTACCTGATTATCTTTTTGCAGCCAAGTTATCTGTATAATATGCTTTCTGACTTCATGTGTGATTTCTTATTTGTACTGTGATTTTTTTCTTTAGGGGCCTTGGACAAGTTGTTACCGACTACGTGCATGGTGATGCATTGCAGAAAGCTGCCAAGGCAGGCCTTTTAGCACTTTCAGCTTTTACCTTTGCTGGGCTTTGCTATTTCAACTATCATGATGTAGGCATCTGCAAAGCTGTTGCCATGCTGTGGAAGCTCTGACCTTTTTGACTTAATACCTTGAGAATCGATTATACACCTCTTTGCCTCTGCTCTGTCATGCCATTGACCTCACAAACAGGAGGAAATAACAGATAAATCCATTGGTGAGATACACCTCCTCATCACCTGATTAGTTTTGGAGTTTAATCTGTGAGGCAAAGGTTTGAGAGGGAATTGTATCCAAGAAATTGTGAGACTGACTTTCATATTCTGGTGAGTTACTAAGGTTGTCTTCCCAGCCTCCCACAAGATTCACAGTGCAACTGAACATTATATACGAGCTTTTGCATTTTAATTTATCAAACTCTTGAAGGGAATTCAGGTTTATTACTGTCAATACCTGATCAAACTGCTATATTTGCCCTGGGAGAGATGGATAAAGGGAAAACTGTTAATTCATAAATAAAGACAGCAGAAAGTTAGGCAGCACCTGATGTTTGAAAACTTCCCTTTTGTTCAATTGATAGCCAGTCACTGATGCTTACACGTCTTTGGGAATCTTTAAAGTTTGGGCCCTGGCTGGTGTAGCTCAGTGGATGGAGTGCAGGCTGCGAACCAAAGAGTCACTGGTTCGATTCCCAGTCAGGCACATGCCTGGGTTGTAGGCCAGCTCCCCCATTGGGGGCCACGTGAGAGGCAGCCACACACTGATGTTTATTCTCCCTTTCTCCCTCCCTTCCTCTCTTTCTCTAAAAATAAATAAATAAAAATTTAAAAAATTTAAAGTTTGGAGATGCTGATATTTCACATTACTAATTTCTAAATTCTGGAAAACAGCCTAGAGAGCTTCTGAATATAGAGAACTTCCATGTAGGAAACAGGTCCCTTGTATCAAAATATTACAGATTCTAAACTGAAACTTAATCCTCAGATGTATTAATTTTACTTGTCCTGAAATGTCTACAAATATAAATTGTTATTTTCCCACTGAGACTCTTTAATGTGAAATATATTATATGAAAATAAAGGTTTTATAAAATAAGATTCTGTATAATAAAAATGTGTTCTACTTTGTTATTTATTAATAGTCTCCAGTTTTATTCAATAGAATGGAGTATTGCTTTTATAGCACTTAAACAGGATTGAGTGTTTAAATTTCCTTACGGGGCTTAGCAGTTAGGTAAGTGAACACAAAGTACAAAAAAGACTTACATGTATTAGGTAGAAATAGACTTAGTGTAAGTAGTTTGGTTTGAAGAGAATTTTAGGTGGAATGAGAATTAGGTCCAGATTATGGTGTTTTATGAATGCCAGCCTTTGGAATTCAAATTGTATTCTGTATGCCGTTAGCCTCATCTCTAGGATAATTTTAAGGCATGATGGTTTGTTGCTCCCAGTGACATAGTGGAACTGGGGCTTGGCACGTTTCACTCTCAGAGGACCTTACTGGGCCGCTGCGGCACACTGTGGATGGGCAGGTGGCCAGAAGGGTTTTTGTTCATGAGTGTCTATACTGGTTAAAGATAAGCTCCCTTTAACATGCTCTGGCCTTGTAGGAGATTAAGATGTGGATTAAGGGTTTAGGAAAGATGTGATTAATTCTGTTTTCAGGTGGGTTAAAGATTTCAGAAGACTTATGCTTGAATAGCAGTGGTTCACTCAGGAGTGGTGTTGCTGGGCCCATCCTCCCTGGCAGGGAGTATTTTATCACTGACATTGTTTAGAATTGCAATTTTGTGATGGTGATAAAAAAGCAAACTGACCTTTTGTCAATTTTATCATTTTAAAATTGTCTGTAGACATTGATCCCTGTTGGTGGTATTCATGCTCTCGCCCCAGCCCCCAGTGCACCACTGCAGTAAAATGGTGCGAGGGAGTTCTCCATGGGGTCAAGATGGGAAAGGCTGTAACTGGACATGGGAATCCTGTAGCTGTCACCAGTACCATCAGATGCTAGATTGGATTTGGAAGGATGTCACACTAACAAGCTTCTTTAGATGGCGATTGAGAAATTAAAGTGGATGCTGGCAGAATACTGTCTGCCCCTCCCGGTTGGTTTTATAATTAGGGTAGAGCTGAGCTGTCACTCTGGGAAAACAGTGGGTTGTGTGAGCTGCTAGAGCAGCTGAGAAAATGAGGCAGGAACCAGCAGCGATAGGTTTCTGAGGTTAAGCAGGACATGGTCAGAGTTGTGTGTGTTTCAGAAAGAACTTAGATGACATTAGGAAGGCTGATAAAACTAGAGGCAGAAGGACTTGCGATATGGACACCAGCCTGCAGTGTCCGTGTTATTAAGGATGAAATGAGACATTCACATGGACTACTGAGTTGGGTGGAGGAAAAGGGACAACATGGCTCTTCTGTCAAGGGGAGCAAAAGTCTGTGGCCTCTGCCATGACCTGCCTTTACTGGGTATCTGCACATTACATGATGGTCCTCGATTACTATGCACAGGTTGCTTTAGGTGGTTACCTTGTACAGAAAACAAAGGAACCAATGCTGCTAATCACATCACAGAAGAGGGATATTAGCAAATGACAAGGGCAAAAGTGGTTGGACTGGTTATACTGATCTTAGGAGGGTTTAGCATGGATTTTAGGAAGTTACTTTGCAGTAAATGTTTGCCACTGGGGGCTGGGCCCATGCTGTGCAGAATGGTCTCCTACAGACTTGTAAGAGGTTAAAGGAAGAAAGGGCTTGAATTCTGATAGTGGCCTTGGAAGATAGGACTCAATTTCATGAAGTATTGTAAAAATCAAAAACATTCATTCATTGATAGGTACTAAGAGTACCTCATATAATTGGCATTCTGTCAGGTGCTGTGACAGCAATAAGAATTTTTCTGCTCTTAAAAGGAGATTTGTAATCTAGCTGGAACAGGTAAATTATTGGAGTACCGTGACAAGTGCAATAGTAGTTAAGCACATCCAGCAGCACTGTAACAAAGGGTGTGGTAAGAATTTGCAAGTTTCCTGAAAAAGAGTCTTGACCTTGGTTCTGAAAGATAAGGAGCTTCCAAGTGTCCGAGGAAGCTGAGGTATGGTATGAGGCTGATTGGAGGGTACTAAATTAAGCAGAAGGTTGTGCATAATTTGGTATAACTGCAGTATAGAGAGGGATCGTAGAGAACCTTACATGCCCTGATAAGTAATTGAGACTATTTTGATGGCAATGAGGAGCCAATGAAGATTGTTAATTATGCAAATGACATGGTCAGATGTTTATTTTAAATAGGTTATCCTGGTTGCTGTTTGAAGTTTGGATTTGAAGGAGGTAAGCATGGAGACAGGGAGATTATTTCAGTGATCCAAAAAAGAAATGATGAAATTTGAAGGCAGTAGCCAGAATGGAGAATAAATTCAAGAGATATTTAGAACTTAGATTTTAAGAGTTATAATGGGGTGTGAAAGATTGAAAGAGGAGGGAAGGTGTGCTCAATTTTTTCTGTTGTAAATAGGTGGATGGGAAGTATTTATTTTTGAAGGAAAATTGGATATGGCAGTAAAGAGGTCACTACCAAAGATATGTATTTGTGAGATAGGCAGGAAGAGATAGAATGCATAGACTTCTATTTTTGGCACTATGACAATACTAAATTTTAGAAATTTGCTGGTACACACCTGAGAATGTTTTTAACTGTAACACCTTTTAAAACATAAGCCTGAACTTGCGAAGGGAAGTCCTCTGAGGCCAGGACAAAGTAAACATACACTCAGGGAGGTGAGCAAATCCTGAGGTGGCCCTGAGAGCATTTACTGATCCCAGGTGGCCTACAGTTCTAGTTTTAAGGTGACGCGGGCCAGGAGGAAAGTTTTTAGCTCAAATGAGAGACTGAAGAGTCTAAGAACATGCAGAGAATTTACCTTCAGAGAAAGTGTGAATTAGAAAAAAATTTGTACCTGAAAAAGTAAAGAGCAGAGAAACTTGTCTGCCTTACTTTGGTTCTGGTTGAAGGAAGGAAAATAGCGTGTAAGAATGTGACTAAGGGTCCACCTTCATGCCAGTCTGTGGCCTGAGTTCATACCATCTGCATGTCTGTAAGGACCACATGCTGCACATTTAACATTTGTCTAGGTTGGTAGTGCCCTAGTGTTACAGAACAGAGGTCCAAGGGGGGCAATATTTGGCCCACCCAGGGATGCCAAAAGCTGTTACAGAACAATAGGGCCCCCCACCCCCCGCAAGGATGGTATACTAATACTGTTCTGACCACCTATTGTGCTGGTCTGTCTGCTGCCAGAGGAAAGACATCTCTCAATGCCAGAGACTTGTGAAAAGGAAAGGTTTATTTAAAGCTATACAGACTTTAAGTAGTGACCCAATGTCCCCATTAAAATATCAAAGTCTTTCAGGATAACCACAGATGCCCACAGCACTTCCTTCTCCCCGGCCCTAATTCGGGGTACCATAACTCTGGAAAAGAAGCACATGTCTGTTTCAGGCTGCTGGCACCGTCAGCCATGTCACTGTCGAAGCAGGATCTCTAATTACTCCAAAGCCATGTGGCACCTTCTCATGGCCTGAGCTCTTTGTACCCATTTTCCATGCAAAGTCTCTCCTGCTTCCCAGGCCACATGGCCAAAGGGAGCACCCCAAAGCTGCCTGGTCCTCTTCCACCAAAGCTGCAGAGGTCCCCACTCTATCCAAAAGCATGTGGCTCTCTCTGCACTGCCACAGCTGCGTGGTTCCCTCTCCTTACATGGCTGCAGGGCTCCCCACTCTGGCAAAGCCGCGTGGCTCTCTCCGCCAAAGCTACACGGTGATTCTTTTCTCCCATGGCTGTGGGAGTCTGAAGCCATTCAGCGGAAAGCTCGTAGTTCTCTTCAATGGCTGCCACGTGTGCATTTAAATCTCCATGCCAATCTTCCTCTGCAGCCCAATTTCCCACTCCTCCCACAATTGGCTACACTTGCCAGGACTCCCATATCCTCCCAGCTTTAGTGGGCTGCCATAGTGAGTCTGGGCAGGCATGGCTCCATGGTGTGGAGCCAATCATCTCCAAGCTCTCACGCAGGTGCTGTAATGGGAGCTGGGAGTTGCCTCCCAGTTACATTTTGGGTGAAAGTCACTCCCTTCTCCCTGGTTCAGAGCATGGCCACAGCTATTTAACATATCTATGAAACCAGTTAAAGGTTATAGATATGTTGAATGACCATTTTCGAGGTTAGCTTCGAAACTGTTGCTATGCAAAACAGCTCTCAATGGCCCCTCTTCATTTGTCCTTCCCCCAACCGACACCTGTGGGGGGGGGTAAGGGGTGAGGACATCTTATATGTCTTTCTAATATTCCCTGGACACCCTGAGTTCTGGACCCCATTGCAAATCCCTTTTCGGGGCCCCCCTCTTGGCTGCACCCTAGATGCCTCACTAGATGCCCAGTAGAAGTGAGTAAATCCTCCCTGAAGGAAGGTTAGTTTGCCCAATACAAGCCTCAAAAATCCACACCAAGTTCCAATGAATGTGACCTTCCAGCAATAAATCCCAACTTTACAGAACACCCTGAACAAGAGTCAGCGCACATAACAAGCAGAAGCATAGCCACAAAGAATTCAGACTGGTGGGATTTCCAGACACAAAATGTAAATGAAATGAGATGGAAGTCTAAATACAACTTCAGTTGTCAGATCCGGGATCAGAAGGTCTTTGGGGAAGGTAGTCTAGCCTTGACATCGTCTTGACCCATAGACTCCTGGGAGGTCGATGTCTGCTCAGGAGAGTTAGGTTTTTCTGGAGTCCTTATGAATGCCAGGATCAATTCTCATTGGGTCTGGATATTCAGGTTATAGGATCCTAATCACGGTTACATTATACTGGGGCATAGAGTTTCAGAGCTGTATTTGAAGTTAGGAGTACCCAAAATGGTCACTTCCAGTGTGTTTCTAAGGCTGACATTTATTGGTGTCTCTTCTAATAAATCTAGTCTCTCAGTTGTATATCACACTGCTGATGGTGGGGAATACAGTATATCTGATGATACATCTTTCAGAAATCTAGGCTTCCAGCCAAGATGGAGGTGTAGGTGGAAACACTGTCCCTCCTTGC